GCAGAGTTCTCACTGAGAACAGGGACCTGAGAGAAAGGGCAGGGCAGAGACTTAAGCACTTCAGGTCTGCGATCTTACTTACTTTCGCATCCACTCTGAGTCCTCCGATTTATAGATGAGGAATGCAAACCTCAGAGCGGTGATCTGTCACACCGGTACAGAGGGGCTAGAGTGAACGTTCGGGTCTTAATCAGCCCTCCACTGGGCTGTTACTAGGAAGAAAGACGTTTGTTTCTATTAAGACAGCAGCTGGCACACCGCAGATATGGATGGGCAGATAAATCATGCACGTCTGGATGATCAGCTCAAGCTGAAAACGAGGGTAAGGCAGGACGCCTATAAAACGGCTGGTAAATGTTTACAGCTCGTGTCTTAAGCACTAGACTATAAGCTGCTGCTTTTTTGTTTTTTTGCTACAGGGTGCACATACACTCGCCAGAGAGACGCAGAGATAGAGAGGAGGAGGAAAAATGATAAATCATACGCCCCCATCCTCCTCTGTTCTTCTCTCGAGACTACACTCGCCAGAGAGACGCAGAGATAGAGAGGAGGAGGAAAAATGATAAATCATACGCCCCATCCTCCTCTGTTCTTCTCTCGAGACTTTGGGCACCCACACACATGTGATTTTCAAGCCACGGGGTCTGGGACTCGTACTGCATGGTCTGCCATGTGGGATCTAGCCACCTTAACCACCACGCCACTGGCTGGCCCAAGACCATGAGCTTCTTTAAGACAAGTACTGATTCTACAGCAGAGGATTACAAAACTATAGTTGCAATCAAGACTGTAGATTTAAAGCACAATGGTTTAAATTTGTAGTCTTTACTCTTCTACTATTAGACTCGACTTTTTAAAATTAAAAACAATTTATTATTTTTTAGTTTGACTAGAGAGAGACAGAAAGAGAAAGAGAGGGAAAGTGAGAAAGCAAGCTGCCAGGTCTGGGATTTGAACCACAGTTGGCCATGTTCAGTACTTTAACTACCAAACCACCTGCTGGCCCCATAATTGACTCTTTTTTTTGAGAGGTTTTGCTATAGGGTACATAAGAGACACACAGAGAGACAGAAAGCAAGAAATCACCCCTCAGGGGGATGGCCACGCCGCAATCCCTTCTCCTCTCGGGATCTTGGGCACGCACACACGTGCCCGGCATGAGTTTAAGCCACCAGGTCTGGGACTCAAACCATGGTCAACTACATGGGAGTCTAATGACGTAGCCATTATGCCAACTGCTGGTCCCTCTATAGTTGTCTTTTAAAAATAGAAAAAAGATTCTAGAGCCCGTCTTGAAAAGCCTAACCTGCCTATGACACATGTATAGAGTGCAGAGGGGCAAAGTCAGACCTCACACTGACAGCAAAGCCAGTATGGAGGCTTTACCGCCAGTCAAATTCTGGAGGTGGAAAGAAGCAAATAACACAGAGAAGGGCCATTTCTGGCAGCCACGACGGCTACCCAGATCGCATTAATGCTTTCCGGGGTCCTAGCTACGTGGGCATCAGGTCCAGTGTGGACAGCAGGGGCTTCTTTGTGACCAACAGGCTGGCGCCCACTCAGCACATCTGGAGCCTGTCAGACAACCTTTCATTTTCTCTTTCCTTTTCATTGGCCCTGGCCCCTTCCACTGGTGCAGCCTTTCCAAGTGCTGCTTTGCCATGAATGAGTCAAAGAGACCAGGGAGGCTGGGACGTAGCTCAGACCATAGCAGAGGCTGACCCCAAGCGTGCGCACCCTCACTGCTCCGCCTTCCTGATGACAGGGACTGCCCGCGAAGGCCGAGGGCCTCTCAGGCAGCGGCAGCCCCATTCGCTGGGAAGCCTGGCCAGTGCTGGCTGCTTCTCTGTAGGAAACGGCCTTCAGGCTGGGGCACATTCCATCAATTCAAGGACTAGAAGCTGTAAATTAAAACAACATTGATGCTGTATGCTCTCTCCAAGAGGCCTCTCCCTGTTCAAGACTAAGCACACACACTTGGAGCAATCAAAGAACCAGAATGTCTCTGGAGAGACTCCTTCCTGCTCACAGCACCCAGATACGTTCTGAGAGGCAGGAGTGTGCCACTCTCCATGGAAGGCCGACAGGAGCAGCCTGCAGGAACGCCTCCTGGGAGCTGCGTTTCTCTCTCTTTACAGAGGTCACATCACTGCAGGGTACTCAGGGCATACACTACACAGACACCGAGAACACTTCAGCGACTCCTTCCTAAGGTTATAAGCTCATAGATAGTTGATTTCCTTAACTTCTACCTAGTAAGGATGCACAGCCTTGAGAGCCATGCGGTCAACAGCCGCTGTGACGACATACGGCATTCCGGGTGGCTGGACTGCCTCTTCTCCTCTGTGTCGGGCAGGCAGGGACCGTCAGCTCTTTAAATCACGTGCCTGCACAGTCATGCCAAGCGAGGGCAGAGGTCGGACGCGGCCAAATAAGCATGTCCACAAACCATGATCCCCCGTCTGACCAATATCCTCCTGTTTTATACCATCAGCTTTGATGGGCCAAATTTCAGTCCTCAACTACCGGAAGATGCCTGTAATAACAAGCACATCTTCCTATTTTACCTAGCATGCATCCACATATTGGATAATGTCCTCTTCTTGCTAAAAACTATGTTAGGACCCTGAAAAAAAACTCTTTCACTTGTAAAAGAGCAGTAGGTTACTTTTGGCTGGTCAACTATCTATCCTATAGAAAGGGACATCTCTTGTTTTTATTTCTCAGCAAAATCAGATAAATAAATATATAGTCTATACATATAGTCCATTTCTAAGCAGATTTAATATTGATCTACAAAAGGGAATAGCAGATGACATAATGGTTACATTGCTGGACTCCCACGGAGTCGACCACGGTTTGAGTCCGGACCTAGTGGCTTAAAATTTACACTGGGCGCCTGTACATGCGTGCTCAAAATCCCAAGAGAATGGAGAAGGGACTGCTGCGTGGCCATGCCCTCTAGGGGATTACTTCTGGCTTTCTGTCTCCAGGGAGCGCATGTGCCCTATAGCAAAAACCTCTCTCAAAAAAAAGAAAAAAAAAAAGAAAGAAAGAAAAAAGATCTACAAAGAAAACATTGTGTTAATAGTTTCTTGATAGTTTGAACATTAAATGCTACATCAAAATACCATCAATTGATGCTTCCTTACCCCAACCCCAAGAAATACTGGGTTTTCAGAAAAGCCATGGCTCATTTTTACATAGAAAATACGTCATGGTTTTTTCTGACAACCCAATAGGACAGAAGAAGCTTCGTCACCTGAGAAGTTCTTTCTCGGTCTCATTACTGAGGCAAGAGTGGATCTAGGCAGTCGAAACGTGACTGAGAACACAGGAGATGCCAGAGCCGGAGCCCAAACTGCAGGCCCTGCGAAGCACGGGATGGTCAGTGAGGAGTGCACAGCTACGAGGGGTTCGGATGTTAACGCTCAGCTTTCTCCTTATTTTCAAAGGGAAACTGTCCTCACTTCTGTAATTAATTACTATCTCTCTATATATTTGTGGTTAGTGGGCACTATGTGTTCCCCAGACGCAGAGGGGAAGAACGGAAAGCCCACTCTGCGGAGCGTGATCAGACCATAAGCCCTCCTCCCTCTCTCCCTCCCTGTGGGATCTTGGGCGGGCACCCGCGTGGACCTGGAGTGCTGCTCAGGCTGTGGCCGGGCCTCGGACCACACGGCCAGCCACGTGGGGTCTGGCTGCCTAACCAGGCCGTCCAGCAGCCTCTTCCTGGTTTTTGGTTTTGTTTGTGGTAAATACATACAATATGGAATGTTACGATTTTAACCGTTTTAAGTGTATACTTCTATTAAGTACACTCAAACTGCCGTGCAACCATCAACAGGGAAATTCCAGCGTTACTGTCTCAGATGAAAGGCCTCACTTAAATGTTAAGCATTACATTTTGGAAGGGTTTAGGTTGGGAAAAACAAAGGGCAAAACTTCGTTCTTCAACGCCGTGCAACCATCAACAGGGAAATTCCAGCGTTACTGTCTCAGATGAAAGGCCTCACTTAAATGTTAAGCATTACATTTTGGAAGGGTTTAGGTTGGGAAAAACAAAAACTTCATTCTTCAACCTTGACTTGGCCCTACATTATTGGGAATCTTTTCATGGACACATCCTTACTGCCTATTATAACAAGACTCTGATTGGATGTAAAAAGTAAGCCTTGTCAAATGAGCAGAATTTCACTAACTTCGAGCAGCCACTGTATAAAGTTAAAAAACATTTTGATCCTTTTTTTTTTTTTAAAAGGTTTTTGCCATAGAGCATGTATGCTCACCTGAGAGTGAGGGAAAGTGAGAAACCACCTACCCCTGTGGAGCGGGGAAGGCCACGCCATAATTCCTTCTCCTCATTCTCTCAGGATTTGGGCACATATGTATATGCACCTGGTGTGATCTTCAAGCTGCAGGGTCCGGGGTTCAAGTTGCAGTTGACCACGTGAGAGTCCTGAGCCTTAACAATTACGCCACCTACTGGCCCACTTGTGACATTTTTTTTTTGAGAGAGAAATATTTGCTATAGGGCACATGGGCGCGCCAGAGAGAGGGAGAGAGAGAGAGAGAGAGAGAGAGAGAGAGAGAGGAAAAGCAAGAAATTACACCCGGGGGTAGGGCAGCCACATGGCATCCTTTCTCCTCCCGGGATCTTGGGCACACATACACACATGCTCGGTGTGAGTTTCAAGCTGCCAGGTCTGGGACTCGAATCATGGCCAGTCATGTGAGAGTCCAGCACCTTAACCACTATGCCACCTGCTGGCCCCGTGACCTCTCTTAAATCGGCTCTGTTACCAAGAACGGTCCGCATCCCCAGACATAGCCATAGTTGTGAAGACAGACTGCACTTAGGAAAACTAACGAGGTCCAATTATCGGGTGTCTGTTATGAGTCACAGGACCCTAACACACATGCTGGCAAGCCCGTGTGTGGAGACTGGTGCGGATGCTGGCCCCTCTGCCCCTCCTCCTGGCCCTCCCTTTCAGTCCTACCTGCTGCTTGAGCTGCTGCACCAGCCGGTCCTTCTCGCGCTTTAATGCAGCGACCTCCTCCTGGGTCTTCTTCTTAGAGGACGAAAGCTCCAGGAGGGCTATATTGGCATCTTTCTCACTAATGGCAGCTAGAAGAGCTTCTTGCCTGCAAAAGGAGGAAAACAACATTTTAACACTTACAACAACGCTTTGAAGTTACTACTATCATTGCCTTCATTTTAATGGTGATGAAAATGAGACTTAAGAGAGTTTATCCAGTTCGTCCAAGTTCAAGCTTAGAGTAAATGGTACACCCAGAAGACCATTTGGGCTTTTTTGACTCTAAATATTTTTATTAGGTTGCTACATTGTGCTATTCTTATTTATTTATTTATATAAGTTTCTTTCTTTATGAGAGATAAAAAGAGAGAGAAAGAAAGGGAGCAGGGGTGGTAGGTGTCGCATATCCGCAGCAGAGTCTTGCCACACCACAATTCTCCTCTCGGCCTCCTGGTCAGCCACTGGTCAGCCAGGACCACAGGCGTGTGCGAGCATATCCAGCATGTTCAGGTTGACCTGGAATCCAGACCGGGGCCTCCCACGTGGCTCCAGCAGTGTGGAGCAGCAGCTTATCATCTGCACTGTGGCTGGGCCTTCTACTGCTGTACTGACAGAGTTCTTACGTTATGCACATGAAACAAGCCAGTCACAGGACAAACACTGCAGGATTGCACCTACATGAGTGCCTCAAACAGCCAGACTCGGGGTTCAGAGAGGAGAATAGTGCTCGTCACGCCCACACTTGGTGCAGGTGGGAGCATACTGCTCTGCAGGGTTGAAACCACATGGTCAGCCACAGGCCTGGATCCACAGTCAACCTGAAACACACCAGGCACGCACGTGCCCACGACCCTGACTACATGGAGGCTGGGGAAGCAGAATGCAGTGTGACCACACCCTGTTGAGGGTGCCTGTCTCTGTGTGCCTATGTCTTTCTGAATACAAAAACCCGATCAAATAAACAGAGACAACAGTGGTGGGTGGGGACCAGCAGGTGGCATGGTGGTTAAGGTGCTGGACACTCCCACATGGCCAACCATGATTTGAGTCCTGGACCTGATGGCTTGCTTTCTCGCTTTCCTTCTCCCTCCTTCTCTCTGTCTCTCTCTCTGTCTCTCTCTGGTCAAATTAAAATAAATCAATGAATAAATAAAATGAAATAATTCTTAAAAAACTAAAAACAAACAACAGTGGTTGCTTGGGGCTGGAGGAGGGGAAACAGGCATGAAGTTGCAGTTAGGCCAGATGACTAAATCCTGGAGACCGACTGCACTGCTCTCCCGACAGTCAGCAGTATTTTATCACAAACTTTATCACTCACAAACTCACTAAGCGGGTACATCTCATGTGAAGTGTCCCCTCCCCCTTTTTAAAGGTTTTAGCCATAGAGCACATGCACTCACCGGCAAGAGATAGAGACAGAGAGAGAGAAAGTGAGAAATCATCCCGTGGTGGTGCGATGGCCACACTCCAACCCCTTCTCCTCCACTCTCCTCCCCGGATTCCAGGCAAGCACACAAACACGCCTGCCATGAGTTTTAAACTGCTGGGTACAGGACTTGAACTGTCATCGGCCATGAGTTAGTCTAGCACCTTAACCACCATACCAGCTGCTGGTCCTCATGTAAAGTGTTCTTATCACAACAACACTAAAAATATACATATTTACCTTTTAAAAAACTATATGAATAACATTTTGGTATTCACTTTATAGTTTTTTTTTTTAATTTTTTTTGGAGAGGTTTTTGCTATAGGGCACATGTGCTCGCCAGAAAGCCAGAGAGACAGAGAGACAGAAAGTGAGAAATCACCCTCTAGGGGAGATGGTCACGCCGCAACCCCTTCTCCTCCATTCTCCTCTCAGGATCTTGGGCATGCACGCACACACACCGGGCGTGAGTTTAAGCCACTGGGTCCGGGAATTGAACTGCGGTTCACTACATGGGAGTTCAGCGCCACAGCCATTATGCTAACTGCTGCTCCCTAAATTTTTAGCTATAGTTGTAGCTAAACTTAAAAAGTAACAAAGTTAGTGACTTTTTGTTTTGTTTTACTAAGAATAATTCTGTCACCTATACATGGTATTTATTTAACTCATTTCCATGAAAGATATTCTGCAGCTTTCAGGCAAATTAAGGCATTAATGCTAGTGAAGACATTTTCATGTTTAGAGTGTATAACAAATTGTAAATTTTAGTAAATTGGATTTGAAAACTTAGTTACCTATTCCCGAGCCATTCTGACGTTCAGTAATTCTTATCTCATCAATAAAAATTGGTGTAGCTTTACTAGCAATGATCTATACATTTTGAGATACTGGGTTGTTGGAAAAGTCATGCCGTATTTTTGTCTTCCTAAGCAAAAATGAGTCATGACGTTTCCAACAACCCAATAGTAACGGAAACTTTACAGATTCTTTGCAATTAAGTTACTCCTTTATGGTTCGTGTCCAGATGGAAAAGAAGGTGGATTTAGTAGGGAGATGAACATAAGAAATTTACAGAATAATAATCAAAATGAACTTGGTGAGCAATTAGGCTCACAGTCCCAAATGCATTCCTCCATAGCTCATCTTTATGGAAGACAGATCTGATTTGCAGCAATGATGTCAGTGGCCTGAGCTTTTGACCCGAGGAAGTGCTGAATCTGAGAATGCACCAAGCTGAACCTTGCTTCTGTCTTCTGTTAAGATCACTGAGCTTCAACAGCAGTCACATGGAAGAGTTTTAGCTGAGCTACAAACTGGAAGACTGTCCTGTGAACGCTGTGATGATGTTTTATTTTGGAAGAGTAGGAATACTGACCTCTGAACAAGCAATACAGAGGGCGGAGCTCGGTTTTCATCACTGAGATAGTTTTAACTTGTCTTTGCCAAGATTCTCATCCACCCCAGTGCCACTTTCCCTGTCCCACACTCTACGTAATTCTAAGAAATGGCAGATGGCTTACACCAGGAGACTCCAGTCAACACCAAAGGGATAACCACAGTCTAAATATATCCGCAGACCACTTGAAAAAAAATGTTAAGTGGTGAAGAGAGCTTAGAGGTGAAAGAGTTCAAGACCCCTAACTACGCACATGACTGCTGTCAACTGCTCCCGTTTAGGAAGCTCAAAGACTGGCAAACTGGAGTGGGACGGTATTTGTGAGCCCACAGTCAGGATCCCTCTGCAGGGAGGAGGGAGAAAGCATGTGGAGGCGGGGAATGGGGCGGGGCGGGCAGCAACCTGCCCTGCTGGACAGCAAAAACCCTCAGGGCAGATTAGTGGGGACTCCAGCTAGTGAAGTCACCTTTGACACAGCCAATGAGAAACGAGTGGGCCCAGCCACATTTGAGAGAGCCAATGAGATGAGAATGATCAGCAGGCCTGGCCAATCCAACCCACTGGACCCAGATTTAAAACTATAAACCTCCGAGAAGGTAACTGCTGAGGCCTTTGAGACACGCTGTGGGTCCCTTTGGCCCGCTCCTACCTCTCAGGAGTGCACTTCTGCTTTTACTTAACAAACTACCATCTCCTTTCACTACTGGGGTGTTTTCTTCAATTCTCCGCCCCAAACACCCGGAACCTGAATCACCACAGAAGCCATCCTGGCTGGTGGCACGTCCACACAGAAGAGAAATGGCTCTACTTAATTAGACTAAGTCCCCAGCACCTCTACTGGTGCAAGATACAAAGGCGATGGCATGGGAGTTCTTGCCCTCACTGAAGGAACGCATCACAGAATAAAAGAGAAAAGCGATTCAGTGTTGTTGAAGCACCTTGACTGAACAGCAAACTTTCAGATGCCCTACGCCTGGACAGCTAGGGCAGCACGAGTGCCCAAACTGCGAGACGGCACAACGTTGCAATGGACCATCAAGTGACAATTCGATTTCCAATACTTAAAGGATATAAAATTAGAGTCTGAGCCACTTGTCTGGCTCAGATTTTAAATCTTTTTATTTTTATGCAATTCAAATAGAGATTTTGTCATTGATACGATTAACTTTCTCTCTCATCACACCCAGGGCTCTCTCGTCCTCTAAAAACTCCTTAACATATTATTGTCCACTTACCCTTTCCCCTTGAAAAGTATATTCCTGATGCTGATTTCTTTTTTTAACTTTTTTTTTTTGGAGAGGTTTTTGCTATTGGGCGCGTATACTTGCCAGACAGACAGAGAGATAGAAAGCAAGAAATCACCCCCAGGGGGGATGGTCACGCCGCAATCCCTTCTCCTCTATTCTCCTCTCGGGATCTTGGGCACGCACGCACACGTGCCCGGCGTGAGTTTAAGCCACCGGGTCTGGGTAGCGAATCATGGTCGACTACGTGGGAGTCCAGTGACATAGCCATTACGCTAACTGCTGGTCGCCTGATGCTGATTTTTACATGTGTCTGTGCAACTCACGGTCACAAGAACATGCTTTGATTACATATTGTCTAACTATATAAAGTATGGGTGATTTCAGTATCTTTTATAGTTTTATTAGCTTTTAGGTTTTTCTTTTATTTTTGGAAAGAGACAGGTGTTTTTTTGTTTTTGTTTTTGTTTTTGGTTATAGTAAATTTGAAAAGGATACTATGGGGGAGAACAGCCTCTTGAGAAAAATGCCGACGTAGCCAAAGTAACTGCCTTTGGGGAATAAGGCAAACTGTTGTTGCCATAATGTATCTGAAGAAAAGACCATATGGTATAGTCGGACCTTCGAGGATAAACTTTACGCAGTATTCGAAAGTGTCTAAATTCCAGCATTTTACCTAGAATATCTTGTTTGCTAGAGAGAGTGGAATTCAGAGTTAAAAGTAAGTAATTTGCAAAAAAAAAAAAAAAAAAGGAAAATCTTGTTTTAGCAGCTGCCAACCTAGTATATTTGCTTTGTAAAAATGATATTTTCTCATAATGTATGTATTCATTGAAGGAAAGATATGTAAAATTATAAAGAAAATTTTAGGACCATAAAGAATTCCTTTTTAAGTCAGAGTCAATAGCCTAAGATCTGGAAGTCACCTCTTCTAATGCTGGTATAGCTATTTTAGAGAAATTAAGCCTTAATGGAAGTTAATCGTTGACTTGAACAACGCCGCTAACTGAAGACTGCCCACAGAAGGGGGAACTTGC